ATATTAATTTAAAACTATTATTATTAAGAAATGAAAAAAATTGAATAACAAAAATTTCAAAGACTTATTTTGGTCGTATTCACGTTAACACTTTCGGAACAACGTGTATAGGATGACTTTGTATAGCTTGAATAATCCGGTATAAGTCGCGTGCTCTCCAGATATCTGCCAACTACAAACGCTATTTTGTGACGTACTACGAATATCAATTGAAATATATTTTAGTTACATTATTTTTTATTTTTTCGAAGAAACTTCCACTTCCACTGTTTTTACAAAACATCTGCATTCCTCCTGCGTCGGTTTTTGCTGAGTCGAACTTGCTGACGTTTCGCCAATCATCCTGTTGACTAACCAAAACTAACCAAAACTGGCTCGCATTTTACTCTGTACCTACTTATATATTGTTTGAGGGGGCGGAACTAAATTAGGGGCATAAACACCGTCTCGGATGACTGATTGCCATATTGGTGACATGTAGAGACCTGAGTCGCGGTTAAGATTGTTAGGTTGTTTATATATTTCTATGGACCCTCGGATTTTTCGTTGGTAGAAGAACTGATTACATTCAAGAATTTTAGTTTTATGGAATAAAATTTTATGTTCGGTTTCATGAGTGTGTTCGGCAACAGCTGATGAGTTTTTTTGTCTTAGTCGTAAGGCTCTTTCGTGTTCTTTGAGCCTAGTTGATATTTTTCGTCCGGTCTCTCCAATGTATTCTTTGCCGCATATGCATGAAATGTTGTATACTCCTGGCATCTCAAATGGAATTTTGTCTTTGACGGACGGAAGATGATGAGAGATTTTTGGACAAGTGGTAATTCTGGTTTTGACGTTATACTTCTTTAGAACTTTTGATATGTGGTCAGTGATGTTTTGAATGTAAGCAAGGACCACAGTGGCAAGTGTAGGATTGCTTTCGACCTCATTACTATTGGAAGGTTGTGGTGACGTTTATTTTTTGATGGAACGCTTAATATCTTTAATGTGGAAAGTATTGGAGAGAAGAGCGGAGGTAAGGTGTTTTAATGCTGAGTTTAGTGACTCGGGCTGAGATTGTTTTATGGCTCTGTAAACAAGAGAGTTGATAACCGATGATTTTTGGGCCGGATGGTGATGTGACCATGCATTAAGGTCTATGTGCGTAGGTTTTCTGTAAACAGAATGACCCAATGTTAGGTCTGATTTTGTTCCGAAATTTTTCATTTCTTAATAATAATAGTTTTAAATTAATATTTTTTAATAACTTGAGTTTAGTAAAAATAAAATCTAATTTTAATTTCTGAAATAGATAAGAAGAAAATTATGTCAGAAATCTACAGTAGGGTAGGGTTGTCGAATTCACCGGTCAAATTTTTTTGTGTCAATTAACCAGCCAGTTTAAATTATTATAAAATGCATATTATTGAGTACTGATAGATAGCACTCTACAGTTGCAAGATGTTATTGAAAACATTTTTTGATTAGTCGATTAAGAAGTGGTCAATTGACCACAGACTACAGAGCATTACAGTAGAGTACAACACCAGAGGATATTTTATATCGCAATTATAAAAAACTACCCATGTTATAGCTGCGTTGTTCGGATATTCGACTGTGTGTTTTTAAGGGCATATTTTGTTTAAACATTCCTTGCTTTGGTATCGCCGTTCCATTTCCTTAATATCCTGGTGAAACCTCTCTCTCTGTTCTTCGCTATCTGCTTTAAGATTTTGAGGAAAATAGTGCAAGTGTCAAAACAGAAAATGCACTTTCAAACTCATTTAAAACCTAGACGTTTTAAAACCTAGATACTTTGAACAATACTTTCGTAGTTTTCGTTCTTAGAGTTCTCAAGAAACTTATCAATTACTTCTTTAAATGAAACCTAGGCGTTTTTCTCGACAATTGGTCATTGTGTTTTGAACATTACACAACAAAAATAACAATCATCATAGTGATTCCTAGGCTCTCGCCATACCATAGGAACACCAAAGCTTAATCATCCTTCCTACCTTTTTGCCAGTTTCTTAATGCTTCAACGCAAACGAAGCAAGTATGAGGAGCCCAGGACTTGTCTTATTCGCCAATTTTTACACCAAAATAAGCGTGGTATATATTTTTTACAAAAGAAGTTGTAGTTTGCCTTGGCTTTACTACGACATAACTAGCACTCATATAAAAAAAGTTATTTGGATTGTTCACACGATATCTTCTTTCCATATTTATACATTCCGGAACACACAGTCACGAACACAATAGCACGACAGCCAATACAACCAAACTGCGCATAAGCAGGTTACAATGCTGTATTGACGCTTCTGCGCCGACTCTGTTGCTTGCCTGTTGCCAAATCACTTTTAATTTCATAAAATTCAATTCATTTAAAAATCATGCCTAATAGGTATATTATTAAAATAACATCTTTAAGATATAGAGCGCTATAAAAAAATAACGAAATAAAGTAAAAATATGTCGTTTTTTGGTTAGGGTCCTCAAAAATAAACAAATAAGCAAACATCTTTTAAACATCAAAATCACTGTAGACCTGTGTTACCTATCGATCGGTGTTAGGGTCCTCTATAGCTAACTCTTAGTCTTTTCAGCAAAATACACGAAATTATGGTTTTAGTATTATCTAAATAAATGTTTTATTGCATTTAAGTGCCTATAAATAATTTATTGAGATAACTACTTTGTAGTTTTCGGTATATTTCGATATAATTCAAATATTAAAGAAACCTTAAGCCTTAGGTATCATAAATATTATTGAACCATACAATTATTTTTGTCGTAGAACCCAAAAATGCTAGAATATACAGAAGGTTCCATTTAAAAACAACATAAACTTTATATTTTTAACACTTTTGGGACAACCAGTACAGAAAAATTAAATTAGAACAAAAAACGTTCAGATTTTCACAGTTTTCAATAATTTATGACAGCTATCATCAATTATAAAATACAGTAAAAATCCGATAATTTTTTTTCTAATTTAATTTGTGTTAAACTGATTTTCGTCAAATAAAAGCCACCTCAGTCCAACCAGTATAGTATGAATATAATTTTAAAAGCAACGATAGTACGACTTTACACATCCCATGAGTAAAACTTTTTGAAAATCTTGTATTTTGGTGAGAATATATTGTGCCGTATATCGTAAATAACCCTGCATAGTCAACATAAAATTGATGAATGTCTTCCACCCCTTTCATAAATTACCAAATTCCGGGAACTCTTGTTAACTGAGCGCAGTTTTCCATGTTTCATTCAAGAAATTCCTTTACCTATATGTCAGAAGTACATTTTAATGCCTGCACTGATTTATGTCGAAAAGACAATATTTTAGTAAACCATTATATAATGCGAGAACTGACATGATCATTAATATTTCGCAAAGACTTGGTTTAGTATCCTGCATAACTCTTTAATAAGAGTGCAATGCAAACATCATGGGAAAATTGAAAAATATGGGAAAATCTTCCTTTAATGTAGCGAATTTTTGTAATATAGTGTAAAGCTATTAAGCCATTTTTTGTTTTCGATGGCACATGACACTAAACACTGGTTAGAAAAGTTACATTTCCTAAATCCTTGTAGAAATGTAGCAGTTTTTTTGGAGACTTTTTGGACACCATAAAATAACATTTTCGAAAGTTGTCCTTTATTGTTATTTGTGAAGCGCAACAATCTGGAATTACTTAAAGTAAATTTAATACAGATATCTGAAGAGTATAAAGTAAACATGATTTCATGGGCGTCATATTCCTAACATTGCAATATCACCTCCACTTTAATTAATCAGGACCTTAAGAATATGTTACTATTTTATAAACAATAATTTGCAAATTGATTTGATAATAACTAATATTATACAGTTTCTAGTATCAACATAAACCACCAATAGAGCAACAAAAATAACAAAAACAAAAAAGTAAAATGTTATTAAAATGTTAATGTCAATGTAAAACACTTTTTTTATTAACTTCTCAAACCAATTATAGGAAAACTTCATTAACAAACCGTCACAAACTATCTAACTACGCACTGCATCTAAGCCTTCGATTTCAGGCAACTAAATTAACAGACTTTGTGGACTAAACCGAGAGTATCATACAGGGTATTACAAAGTAAGTCAACCCGTGAACCGTACTCATTTATGTCCTTTTCCTTGATAACGCTTTATCTCCCATCTATTTGAAGATATCTTTGGTGCCTATCACACTCTTATTTAAAAACACAGCTACTACTTAAATGTTCAAAATTCGAGAGAGCGTTTTTAAAAACATTTATTTATACAGAAAGCAAAATAAAGTGACAATCGAATAAAAAGGGCTTTCGATGCGGTGTCAGCGAGACGTTATCTTCACTTAGCTTTGGGCTTCTGTAGTTTGGGGCATATAACTTACTGTATGGTTTTTAACGAATAAGTGAAAGAATTTAAAAAAAAGAAACGTGTTTTTAAGTTCATTTAAAGTCTCTTTTAAGAAATATTTTTACCTAAGTAACCCTGCGTTACAATCTTTTATTGTTATTAAATGAAGGAAGCAACAAAAATTTTCTATCTTTTACAAAATTGTATAGTTAACGGATTATCCAACGTCTACAATATCAAGGCAAAAAGCAAAGATTTAACTATAACTTGTCACCCTAAAAGGCAAATAAAGAGTATGGCCTGTTCATAGATATAAGAGAGTTACCAATCGCTTTTGAACGGATTATCCAAGATTGGTCATTAACATACAATGCAACAAGATTATTATTATTAATTAAGCTAATAATCTTGTTGCATTGTATGTTAATGACCACCCTTGGATAATCCGTTCAAAAGCAATTGGTCACTTTCTTATATCTATGAACAGACCATACCTACATGTTTTCGTAAGCTAATAATTCATAATTCAATTATTATTTCAATTAAATTTAATTTCTCAATACAATGGGGCAAATTACCAAATTTACTTAAATTTGGCCTACCTGCGGCGTAGGTTTAGTAAATTACTTTATTTATTTTTTCTCAGATTCACGCTCAACCGCCCCGCACGCCTCGACCCCGTATGAACTCGGCCATATTTGTCTCGAACAGCGGTCCGGGCATCGATCCCAAAGAGTTCTTCCGGCGACACGGGTCCGTGTCCAAACTATGCCGGAAGGCCCGCAGCGTAGATAACATATCCCTGGAGGACAAGCACTTCGGCCTGCCGACATTGTCAATTTCGGGACCTTCGCCTCCCGAAGACGATGAAACGGAAATAGTCGAATCGCCAGAAACGCAGAGGTTTCTTTGTGAATGAGTCTCTTTACATGGTGGTTTATTTAATCGTCAAATTTTTAGTTCTTGGAAATGATAATTTCCGTTATATTTCGTTTTTTATAAAATCTACCTAATTTAATAAACCTAGACTTGATTCGTGTGCATTATGTTGTCGTTCGAACGAAAACATATATTTGGACGCGTTGGACAAATGCCTAATTACAAGTAGTTACGCGCGTTAAGCCTATTAAAGTAATAAAGAACAACTGAATGGCATAGGTGATTTTATTTATATGATCTGATTCATAAATTTTATTTGATTTGCAATATAATTTTTGCCACAAAACTTACCTACACAGCTGCCTGATAAGTTTCTATTATGGAAACATATAATTCTTTAGTGCACTTCAAAGTAAAAGATATATTTTTACTTTCATGATAAGCGTTCAAATTTTTCTTTACAAAATGATTTAATCTATTTAATATAAATTATATTATATTTTATATTCATACAAGTCGAGTTGCGGTGTGATATGACTGGAGACAGTAGCATATTCTTATTAACTTTATAAAGTTTTAATTTAAAAGATTTTTCGTATCTCATATATTTCGATATAATCGATGGAGCAATAAGCAAGCCGTTTCTCAAAAACACAAAAACTACATGACAAACATTGTTAAATCGACAAATACCGTTTGAGTTTGTCAAACGCGATTGTGAAATTAAGCAAGTCAGCGAAAATAACAAAGCCAGTAACTATTTACACACACATTACTATGTACGATACACATTATCAATAATACCGGGTGTCCAAGAAGAAACGATAGAATATCTCGAAGATTACACAATTGATCAAAAAATCCTTGAAATGTTCAATAAATAAAAAATTTCAATAACACTAATCGCGACTCCCCACTCCAACCCACTGGTGATGGAAAGGAGGCAACTTGAACATGTTAAATGGGATGGGCCATCTAGGTGACGAAAACGGCAGGTTTGTAAGTACCCAATTATGCACGAATCAGGCATGAGCCAAGTGATACTGTGTTCGTTTTCGGTATTTTAGTTAATTGTTGAACGCTATCGGATATTTTCGGTAAATTAAAAAAAAAACTAATGGTCTTTTGACGTCTCTCACTTTGCAAAAATGTACCCATGCATAAAAATAGTATAGTATGCAACACGTTAATAAATTTCTGCAGTCACTCATTTATAAATGATTAGTGCATAATTTGGTATTATATAATAGGGAGTAGAAAAAATATGTTAAAACGATGGCGTCATAACACTAAATTCTAGACAAATACAATAAACCGTCTTTTTTTTCATTTACAGAGCCATCAAACGAGAATCCAAAAGACAAAAATTTTGTTTCCATTTAAAATTTCAAAGTGCCTCCTCCCCGTCACAAGTGGGTTGTGGTGGGGGGTAATGTTTGTGTTATTGAACAGTTTTTGTATTTAATATTTTTCAGCATTTCTTGTTTTTTGATCACTTTTGTAATTCTCGAGTTATTCCTGCCTTTTCATACTTTTTGGACACCCGGACAGTTGATCATTTACATTCGGGCTCATAGGTTTCACTTTTCTAACTGAATCCCTCTAAGAGAGGTGCTCTCGCCTTTATAGGACGCAAACGCTTTCTCGCAATGAAGGTCGAATATTCCATCTTCTTCTCGACAGGCAGCATCTATAATCACGCACTGATTTCCATGCAGCACCTGGGTTGCAATTAAACGAATAAGTGTAAAGCACACCATATTAGGTCAAACTCATTAAAAAATATCTTAGTAATTTCGTCAGGAAATCTTAAAATTGTACAATTAACTAAACCACCGAGTGTCTTGTCTTTTTACGTATTACAACTTCAGTATCATCAATTTGTGCGAGCATTCACCAATTTGACAAGATTTTTTAGGCTTACTCAATAAAGTAAATCATTTGTTTATTTATTTATTATTAATTATGCTTTTGTAGCCCTTGTAAAGAAATATTTATTTAGTTTAGAGGATCCTTAATTGTTACCTAAAAAACATTGATTAAAAATTGTTTTTTCTCGTTCAAAAATTGTAATTAATTCAACAATTCATCGCCTTGAGCCAAATCAATGTGCGGAAAACCTTTTATAACTTGGAAGATCTGTTATTAAGAAGTTGAAATACGTTTTCTTACATATCACCGGTTGTGACACATGTATCCAACAATGAAAGTGAATAGGTTGCAATTGCCAAAACGGTTTCTTTCGACTACGAATTTTTGTCATACATATTTGGTGTAAATGTGATAAAATAAATGCTCAACAAGGATTGGCGTAATAATACACAAACTGCTAGAAATAGCTTTTATGTACTTGGTAAAAATTGCTTTTGGGATTCATGTTAGTTAAATACTACTAAACAAATATAGTTCGCATAAAGCAGCGGCCTATGGAAATATAATCGCCAACACTCACAAGTAATAGATTAGTAGCATACGAATAATTATTACTATTTTGGAATGGCCTTTAGCAAATTTAATCTAAATTAGTTTTCTCTGCTCTCTAAATTGAACAATTAATTAATCAAAAGAACGAGCTGATTTTAATACAATACTATATACTGTGTCGTAATTTCATTGGAAGGGGCCCTGTAAAATAGTAATTTTTCAATAGGACGCGAAAGAGATTAATTTATATTAAATAGAAAACGATCTACAATCATTTTCGATCATTTTAATTTAAGAGAGGGAAAAGTTTGCGTCCTCCATTTTCCATATAAACAAAACCACCCAAAATGTAAATCATAAACTGGACAAAATTTTAAGCTGTTTAAAATTACTGCAAGTACTAATAAAATAATAATAAATTGCATAAAACTTTAAACAAGCAATTTTTTTTCATTTCTAATTTGCAAAATAATTTCAAAGAAATTTTTATATTTTAATTCTAATATCTGGTGACGTAGACATCAGTCACTTATAAACTTGTAATATAATATTTTATAGTTATTAAATTGTGCATTTTGCTGGATAGTTCCATTTCCAATATGGTCAAATATGATGCAGAATGAAATATTCATTTTCAATTTAGATGTTTTGAATTGATAGGAATATTTTTATTATAAAATCGACTAACCTATTTTTTTCATCAATAAAATATCCTTTCAGTAGATATACTTATGATTGGTAGTAATTTTTTCTCAACCAAAGTTTTTTCAAGTTTCCTATTGGGTTTGTGTTTATTTCTCTTCGAATGGCTTCCTGACTGGCGCTGCATTAGAAATTTCGAGAACGAGGGGCTCAGCCGAGGTCATATTTCGAAATGAGAGCTTAATGTTTGATTTGGCTTTGTCTTTGCTAGTTAAACTAGCACTTTTCTATATTTGGATAACAAAAGAATTTTATTTCAAACCGGACTCCGGAAAATAGGCACAAGGCTAAATATGAATAAACTCCACATTGTTGGCAATTTTTGTGTAAATATAGGTAGACAAAAAACGCATTGAATTTCTTATTATTTACTTATTAGAAATATATCAGGCAGGGGATGGTCACAGCACATTTGAATTAATTAGGTCTGTGAATATTTCATACAACTCATACGCTCCATTCTGTTCATAAATTTTTAGGAATTCGAAACGATACATTTTTAAGATACAGCACAAAAAGGGTCCACTAATAATATATCACCAATATAAATAGATATACGAAGAAATATTTCTTCTTCCTATAGTAACGTGAGTAAATTATTAATTGATATTATTATGTAATTGGGACTGATATGGTGCCAATTTAGTTAGAAGCACGCTGCCAGCGAAAATTTTAGGGTGTTGCACACAGTGAGAATTCAGATATATAACATGACAATTTTTATTTGTATAGCGTTATGAATGTTGTAGTATACTTGTATATCTATTAAAAAAATATTATTAAAGTGTAATTTAAAATATATATAAACATTGCATTAGTGACCCAACTTTTACCCCAAATTTACTGTTAATTACTTAGATTTTACTCCTTTTAAAAATATGTGCAAATATTTTTAAGAAACAGACAAGGAAAAGTGAAAGCAACAATATAGGTAAATATTAAAACGTCAATTCCGTCAAATCGCTTGTCAAAATATCTGTTTGTGAAGTGGTTTTATATTCTCCATGGGACCAAACACAACATGAAATAAGGAACAAACGATAAAAATATTTGTACATTTTGTGAGCTACTTCTGCATATAGCTTTAACTAGAGCCTACTTTAAAAAAACAAGTTGGTGAGATGCTGGAATGAGAATTCATATAGTTTTTATATACCCGCCTTTAATAATATCGTTTCTCTTAAATGTATTTTGAAGAAACTGTACAATGTACCTATGTGTAAGGAAGAAATAATTTTTCGACTTTACCAATAAACAATTTTATACTATACTACCTGTATAACACCTAGTTCTTATTGTAAGTTACAAACGGATTATAAGATTGCAGCGAAGTCAATTGAAAATTTTAGCGTTAAGAAGTTCCCTAAATAAAAAATAATATTAGAAATGTATATAACTCAGGTCCACATATCCTATTTATATCCTTATATCCTTTGATGGAGAACCAATATTTGAAACAGTCTGTTTGGCTAATCCTACAGTACTCAAAATTATTAAATGTAATAACAGGATTTCCTTCTGAAGGAAACCTCCTATAGACCAATGTTACTTAACATTTGATTTCCTTTTTCCTTGCTGAAAAATGCCTCACGTAAGAGCTAATATCACGGATACCTATAAAAGCACAAATTATAGTACGAGTGAAGGCAGTGATGTTTTTAACGAATTAAAATATTTTTCATTTCTGTGATTCGAAAGTATTAATGCCTTTCTATGTAAATAAAGTGTAATTCTCTATTGTAGAAATTGTAGGTTAGACATTTACTTGTAGAAAGTCATCTCTTCTGTATAGCACCAATTACTACCAAACTTCACGGTGAATTAGAAATTTTCGGCAAGAAATACTGAATAATGCCAAATGAAACATCATCGGCAATTGCCAGAACTTTTTAATTTACTGTCTTATTATTTTTATTATTATTATTTAACTGTATGCAATAACGAAGTGTAAAATCTTGTTCTAAATATAGCAAATATATTCCATTCTACAAATTTATTTTTTTTAAACACTTAATGTCAAACACTAGACTTTATATTCCCACTGCGATTAACTAATAATACTCACTAAAAATAGATATAATTCTTCAAGCAGCTCGCAATTTTAATAACTATAGTTTTTTTTTAATGTTACATTTAAACAAAATAATACTTGTTAAGTATTTAAAACATAATTATATTTAGATACTGAAAAAACCTTAAGAATGATGTATCAGAAGCCTTAATAAAACAAACAGGATAATGGAAAAGTGCTACAATATTGACTTTAAAAAGACGACATACTTTGGTTTTCAAAAAGTTTTTTCCACGTTCGACTCTTAAAATACCCCCTATCTAAAGATTAGGCGTGCGCAAGGTGTTAATTTGAAACATCATTTGCATGAAATACCGTCGCGAACTACTTTAAGCCGTTAAGCCTGATATTTTGACGTTCTGATGTGTGTATATATTCCTATTTTTCAAAATTTTAACCAAAACCTAAAGCTATTAGAAAAATGATAGTACGCAACATCTTTATAAACTTTTTCTTCAGACACTCAAAAATTAAACCCTGGCTCCGCTCGCGCCTAAACAAACTCGTGACTGAAGTGTCATTTACAAAACTTGTGGCATAATATACTATTAGCTTAAAGCGTGAATAACACTCTATAATAAAACTAAAAACTCAGAAACATAATTTATTACCAGAAATATTATATCCAATAAATAATTCATCTAAAATTTTGATGTATCAAAATACTACCGAACGAAAAATTTTAAAAATTATACCATACCCCAGTCCAAAACAGTGAAGAAAATAATCACTGTGCGAAAAAATCTGGATCGAAACTCCTCCAAACAGGTTCCAATATTATTTGGAATGAATTCTAAAAAATTTCGATTGACTGTTGCATATATGAGGGCGGTTTACATATTATTATTCCTAATAATTAAGGTCACGAAAAAGCGTATTTTTTATTTTTCAGAACAGTGACCTAAGACGTTGACATACTTGCTATAACGATAGTAATGAGCTATAAAACCGTCAGAAAAAAGTGGTCTATTTTGAGTTGCAAAGTGCTCTTCACCTCTATCATTATTCAGTTTGAAGTCATCAGTGCCCCAGAAACTAGGCTATTTGCTCATGAATTTTTCAGTCTCCATTATAAATTTCGGCTTACGAAACGCAGCTTCTGTGGTTAGGAGAGGTACCCCGATTTCATTCCTAATATTGGTAATGGTATTGGTATTAAAGGGGGACGCCCTCGCGGCGTTCAAGTACTTAGGTTACCAGATGGGCCCATTGAGCCCCCAGACCGCTCTAGAGGGCGTCCAGAATACCGCCCCTCCTATAGAAGGTCAGCAACTCCTTTAGCACAATACCGTGCACTGAGTCAAAATAAGGTCAAAATGCTGTAGATCTCGCTCTCATTCAATCAATGGTAACCAAATTGGGCTCTAAAGTGCTCTCCAATGCGCTTTCGTTTTAGCATCAACGCTTGCGGTACTCCTCGTGCAGCCACAATAAATTTGTTTTCTTTACAAGCAACAGTTTTCGGCCATCCAGCATCAACAACTTGTTAAAGTCTCGTGCCTAGTTTTTTACAACTTGATATGAAGGTGCAAATTCACCCCTCCCTTGTGGTGATAAATCTTTCTTATAAAGATATTTAATAACCTCTCTCCTCAAATTTCTCAAAAGAGAATTCATTTAAGTTAATATCAGTATTCCCAGACAATCTTCATGCCCCTCTTTTAGCTCCGCCCCCCTAACACAATCTATACGCAGGTACAGAGTAGAATGCGAGCCAGTTTCAGTTAAGCTCAGAAGAAGTCAACAAGATGATTAGAGAAACGTCGGCTTATTTATAAATAACCGACGCATGAGGAATCCAAAAGGTTTGTGAATGTTATTAGTAGCCTGTGGAAGTTTCTTTGAAAAAATAATTTACGTTACGACTAATAAAACCAATAAAATCAACGCCCACTCTCAGGATCAATAATATCTAAACGGCCCTAGTATACCTCCATTATGGACCCGCTAATAAAGAAACCGCATTATTTAAAGCAGCTTCTTGTTTTCTGTGTCGTTCATGCGTTACTTATACTTATATTTTGAAATAACCAGAGTTTAAAATGTTACTTGATGGATAATCGTCATCTTTTATAGGTACAGTTTTTTAAAACTGTCCCCTAATGATAACACACACAGTGAATCTGAAGATTATAACAGTTATCAGTTACAACAAAATAAAAGTTGCCAAGATGCAACCAAAAAAAAAAACGAAGAGGAAACACTAGTCAAAACTAATCAGTGAATCTTTAAAACCGTCCCGAAAGTGACATTTTCCGACCAAATATTAGGCCAGAAAATTATAGTTTTCATGAGGCTTAGGTCAGATAAAAGCTTTTTCTACACTTCATTCTAAAATATCTCATCATCGCGAGTGACTTTGGCGCGGGTTTAGGAGACTTTAAACACCGATAATATTTTGACATTTGTCAGGTATGATTATCATCACGTCACACGTGACCGACTGAGAATGTATTCGCGATGTTTGGCAAAAATGTATTCAAAAACCAATGGTCGTAGCTTGTGTGAAAATAAACTCGTGACTAAGGTGTCGTTTATCAAATTCGTGCAAATTAACCTGCTTTTTGTTTTTTTTTGTAAATAGACTGAAATATTTCTATATTGACGGCGTTTCTCCTAAAAATTTAATATTACTTTTGTTTACATGTATTATTTCGTTGATGGTTCAAAAAAAAAAATGTACTTAACACGTTCTGAAAGGCTTCTAAAGGCCGTAGACCGACCTCTAGGAAACCTACCCTGTAAAATGTCAGTTTCGAGACTTGTTACATAAACTAATTTGCTGGGGATAAGATCAATTTCTGAAACGCACACTTCACTAGAGATTACAAAACAATACCGAATGACTTAAACAATATAAAAACAAAAATTTCTACTTTCACCGGATCCAATTTGAAAACATATTAAACTGAAATATAGAGCAACAAATAAAAGCTAGGTGGTGGTCCAGCCAATATACATACAAATAAATTTTGTATCTTTTTAAAAACTGAAATTTGGATTATAGGCGCCACGCGCTGCAAGTTTACTGCCTTCTTCAGGACTAATACGAATGACTTTTCGTGATGTCCATTGTCTTCTAAGTACTGTGTGAACTAATAGTTCACGATTCTATTATATACATTAATACAGAAAATCATCCTTTAGTCCTGAAGAAGCCAATAAAAGTGCCAAAACATTGACTTCTTATTATTCCAATAATTTTTATGCACCTAAAGCAATGTACTCTGTATTTGTAATCAATACTGTCAGCCACAGCAGTAATTTTTTAGCAAAAAGTGCAAATGCTCCGAGATAAAGACATTATATCCAAAGAAGGATGACAATTCATTCATATAATGAGTATAAACCGACAGAAAACATAAACAAACATTTATGAATGGTTTGGTTCCCATGCCTGTGGCGATAGAATATAATTTCTTGGAAATATCAAAGCTCTCTGTAGCTTACCTATCAAAACTAAAATTAGTATTATACCTATTGCACACACAAAACAACCCAAAACCATTTTATATAACTATTTAATTAATACTTAGAAACAAAGCACCAACAACAAATAACCAAATTTGTATGTCTGAATTGAAAATATCAAAATCCCAGGTGTCCTCAAATGGCCCAAAATTTTTTGATCATAGGCATTTAGAATGTGATTGGTACGCCAACAAGGACATATTAAGGTCTTGTCAGGTTTCTGGGATACAATGTCTTTGCTCCCAAATATCTACTGTGAATCAAATATTATTTATTTTGGTTTCAATAAAAACTTATTTACTTGACTAGAAGGCATAGGTGGGACCTTGATCATCATAGAATATCTTATCATTTTTACCTTTCCACAATAATAACTGCAAAAGTTTAGAACAAAAAGGGGAAATGTCTACAAGTTTTCTGGTGTATTTTTGCCTGTCTATAACAATTATTTTGTGTGTCAACCAGAAAAGAATAATTAAAATAAATATATGCCCCGTGGAAATTATTGATAAAATATCAAACTTAATTAATGATAACCTTGATAACAACTGTAAAGCATGTCATTTTTAATATTTGCCTGCCCTAAAGTGACAGAAAATAAATTAACTAAAAAGTTACCAAAATGTGCCACCTAACACAATTTAGTTCTTAGTATTTTTACTAATTTTTGTTTTTTACTGCTTATTGGAAAAAATAGGTGCCCATTATTGAGCATAAAAACATTTGTTAGGTATTCCCTCTTATGTTAATTTATGTTAAAATTATATCAAACATAACAAACTTGGAGATCGACACAATTGGCAGTGGTTTTCAAAATTGCATCAAAGCAGACACATCGACGCTTATAATGATTCCTAAGATTCTGGATCTTTATCTTCTGATGATATTGAAGGAGATGACTCCTCCTCCGAACTTTCTTCAGAAGAACTGTCTTCGGAGTCAGGATTTGCAATTTGACTGCTAGATGTATTTTCTTCTGATTTTAATTTCTCTTCTAATTCCACCCAAGGGTCAATCACACAGGATGGATCATAATAAGTGGATGTATTCTGTTTCTGGTTATCACCAAACTCATTAAATGAATTCTAAAAAAAATTAGGCCATCAAAACATATTAGAATATGAATATATAGAATATATAGACTATGAATATATAGAATACCTTATGACTTTGAAATCCAAAGCTGTTATTCTTCTTCCAGGATTTGTTGCGATGGTAGCCATAATTATGCCTGGAATGGCTGTTTGAATCATATATGGAATTGTTTTGGTAATAACTATTATTTTGATAATTTCGATTTCTGAGCGACTGATAGTGGAAATTATTTCCTTTGGGGCTACTATATATTGATGGTGAAAACCGCTTTAGAGGTGGCGAAGCGCATGAATTTGCCGAAAATGATAAAAAATCCGTGGTATCTGATGAGCTGTCACTTTGAAAGGATTTGCTTGTTTTAAAATATACAAACCCCGGTGAAGTATTTTTCAACTTGTTGTTCCATGAATTGCTCATTTTATTGTTAATTTTTAAACGCCTAATGCTAAAGCTTACAATAAAATTATTATTAAAAAGGATATTGACAAATTAACAAACTAGGTTAACAGCACATAATCAAAGAACAACCTTACTCTCCAGTATCATGGAATAAATGAATAAATAAAATAGATTTTTCCCGTCAGCCTTGCGCAAGTTACGTCACTAAAATCACATTGCCGATTCGGGAATAGGTTACGTTAATTGTGGTTGTTTCTATGGGAGAATGAAAATTTTTCGCCTATTGATGGTGTTATTTTTGCTTATAATGTATTTAATTCAGACAAATTTGACATCAACCTATTATAGCAACATTCATAAGGATGGTCAAAAACAAATGGTTAACCCGCATTATACAGAAAAAGGATGCAACATTTAATAAGAATCAATGAAGATTGAAAACTATTTAGTTAGAAATAGAAACCAAAATTTTAATTGGTAATTAGTTCGTTAGTTACTTTTTATTGTGCACGAGCAACACAGAAACCTTAAAAACTCCATTCTAATCTTTGAATCCCGAAAGTCGCAGTACATCATCGTTTCCTATCGGCAGATTTGAGAACGATAATCAAAAGCGGATAGTTATTTGACATGCAATAGCCAGTTCCTTACGACCGCAAAAGGGGATGTGTAACCTAATATATCCCATATATCATATATTTCACAATATTTTCATTTTTTTATAATAATCATTTACATCGATTGGGATCAGTGACGTCACTGTTAGTTCTAAACTGTCGAAAGAAAATTACATAATTGATTTACCGTGGAACTTGTGAATGGAGCATGTTACTTAACATTTATTCTATGCCTCGAGTACTAACTGTTCTCTGATTCCCGTAAAGTATAATTACCTACACAATTAAATATAAATGTTACCCCTAGCTTCTAAGATGGCGACACATGCTTAAAATTGAATTTTAAGATTTCTGGTCATGCGCAATGCTTGATCGCTATAGCGGGTCTGATTTCATGCATGTTCGTTTCTCGTTCGTAAACAGTTAGTTCGATTAAACTTAGCGTCGGAGATGAGTGTCGTATCTTTCCAAAGAATACCAAACCTGTTGCTCCTATGTGAAAATTTAAATATTCGGCAATGCTAATAACCAAAAACTGTTCTTCGCGATAAGGCGGTAATATTTTAACTCCGGTTAGTGATTGGTTTGCCGAGTTTCAAACATGGGATTAGCATTAACCAAGGATTCGTCAACCATGGAGCAGGAGACCGATAGGGCCGAAAGTGTGATTTCCTCTAAATTACATGGCAGGCAAGCCAGTATTAGACAGAGTACAATACGTACAAAATCTAAACAGGCTATGCCAGAACCAAACGAATTAGAGAGACGGTTCACTAAAGTCCTGGTAAGATTTTTGTTTCCGCCAAGTTTTGCTCGATCTTTATGCATAAAGATTCGTTTATACGCAGATGTTTTCGTTTATTGAACCTAAATCGCACAAAAAGGATTTCGCTAACATTCAGACGTTTATGGTCGCTAATTACAAAAAAAGTTTTTATGTTTATAAACTACCTTTCATTATTTTACTTTTAGTTCCAAAATGTAAATTATTTATCTCACCGCGTATTAAATTTAGTTTAGGTTAGGGTCGTTTACATGTAACTAAATCTCAAACTATTAGGTACCGCTACCTAACATGTCAGATACTAACAACCAAAACTTATTGAGAGTTTTGTTTGATTTTCAACATTGTTTTGGCTCTTTCACAGGAGAGCTTTTCAAGAAGGGAGGATAAACTTACCTGTACTCAACATTTCAAATTTTAGATTCATTATAGGTATCCGAATTCTGCCAGATCTTAGATTACAATAATTATTCTCGTAATTACTCTAAAGGACAAATTGTGTCAATTCGTTTTTCAGTACTGTTTTTCTTCTGAACATCTGAGCATGGTAGTATTTTTTATTTTTTAATTATTTTCTATCCGATGAAATAGTTAATTTTTTATTACTTATTAGTTTATTACCTATTGTTTACGTAAATCACAAAAAACAAATTATCACGATAACAAAGATTGATAAGTCATAATACTTGACCCTTCATTTGTTAAATTTGGCACCACCTAGTGTAAAGGAAAATATCTGTATTTAGTTATAGTATATGTTCATAGCAATTATTGTACCGACGTTGTAATCAACAAACAAGCATCGAGAATAATGAATAATAATTGAATGCTGTATTAGTTTAAAGCTCTATTGCATTTAGCTAAATTGTTTGAGCTAAATCTCAAGAACATTATATATACATGACCTTTTGACCTGAAATTCTTTCATTAGGAAATTGAGGTTGAAGATAAATTTAACATAATTGAAGTTTATCCTAAATATTCAGCTCAATATTCAGAATAGGTAGATACTTACCTGGCAAATAATAAAAATGTAAAAAGTTTTTTTTATAACAAAACATTTCATGTAACTAATAAATGCAAGAATAAATGTTTTTCTTGATGTTTTCAACATTTTCATGCACTGAATATGTGCATTTTCGTATGCATCTTTTATAATGCAGGAACTTCATTTCTGTAATTCCAAATCCAAATTAGTGTTAAAAGTTTTTTTCTTATTAAAACCCGGGTTAAAAGCTACTTATTTATAATTCGACACCCCATTTAGAGAATTTAGTGTGAGAATTGTAAATTCATAAGTTGTAGAGTTTGTTCTGGATTACCAGGCCTTTCTGTCACATTGTGACCGTAAATATAAAACTGATCCTCAAACACACATACTTTTTGCTTCCATTCAAGTTACCAAAGTTTTGAGTTGTCGCTCCTTATTTTGTAACTAATTTAAAGCGCAGCTAACTCTTTGCAGCGAGCTTTCCAGTTTTCTGATTGGAATTATTGTTGGTAATATGGACGATGGAGAAATTTATAAAGGGCACCAGTTTATGTTGACATGAAGTCTTCAAGAACTGGAAAATACATAGCACCTAGTGCACTCGCGATTATTATTACTGCGTCATTGGTGCACACAAACGACATATATAAACAACCACCACAAGCAAAAATTTCGCAATATTCGTTTTTCGGAAACGAAGTTTAATATTATGCAGCCAAAAGTGCAACCATTGAATGTCAACTAAACATTTGGTGGTTGGCAAGGAAAAGTCTCCGAGGGCCCAGAGGAGTCTCTGCTGACCCGCACTTGTCAGCTCATTTAAAAAGGGAATTCCGCTTGGAATAAGGTTATTTGAGTCTATAGGTCCTTCTTGGGTAACTTGGTAGATATAACGTTTGATAATTGAACTTAAATGTTGAAAACATTGTTTTGATTGATACTTAGACGTGAACGTAAAAGCTACTTTGGAGCAATGGCGTTTTAAATAGGTACTTAAAAGTAGGCATATTTTTAGCTTATATACGTCAAGACATCGAACCGGTGCTCGTTGTCCCGCGCGGTCGATAACCAACCCACAACATCGACTCGACTAGTTCCAGAGATGTTGCGGATAAATTATAAAACAGGCTTGCGGAATTAAAAAAAGGGAAAAAAGTGCGAACAGAAATGCGATTACATGTATGGTGACGTCGGAATGCGAATAAATACCGTGATGAGTACAAAAGGATTTTAGGCGACTTCGATAGAATCTATTGGTATATACCCGATTCATTATTCACCAGTGTAAGCATACCACTCATACTACGGCGTCGGCCAACAACATTGTATATAAAAATTAGAAAATTTCACAGCGCTTACTCACGATCACCATCAGTTGAAAAGTTTATTTCAAGCAGAAATGTCGAAATTGTCCGAGAACGAAGAAAATTTCTTAGGGCTACATATATCTTCACTACCCACTCACTTTATTGACGATTCTACGATGTTCCTTTGTCTCTTTTTCTACGGTCATATACTATTTTTAACGTACTGGGTACTTTTATTTTGAATTTAAACAATTACAGCACACATTCCCTGCTTTTGTGCCAAACGATCATTATACTTTGCAGACTTAATCTTCCTCGTCGCCATCCATAGACTCGACAACTTTTTGTTTACGAAAAATACAATAAAGGCAGGCAGTTAGAAAATGTAGGTAGCGCCCACTACAAATAAATGCTAACTTAAAAACAAATTCAAATTTCTCATGTCAAATAGTAAATAATGTGAACTTTTTAACAATATGCTGCAGCTATTTTCGTAAAGCAAAATAAAAATTCAATATTTTTATAAATGATTTATTTTATTTAATATAGTGGTAATCCTGGCTGTTCTGACAAACAAAATTATGTAATTATAAGTTGTGAATCAATATCATCATTTTATATTCATTTCAACCAAACCAAACTTAACACTTCATTACAGTTTTGAACTCGTTTTTAAAGTAACTTCCATTACCAAGTTAATTGCTGTACAAACGGAGCTTTGGTTCAAAAAATAAATAAAATTATCTCCAGTCCAAATATTTTCTAAGAGTGCTATATTATCCAAAGATTGTCTGAAAGAACGTCCGAAGAAGCGAAAAGTGAACAAAGTGGTTTCTTTGAAATGGGGCCTCTTTTTAACCACAATATTAGGCGTGATAATTCTGGTAATAATTCGTTTGAAGTTGACTTTATTTTGAATTATTACGGTGGGCGGAAACTGCAGTCCAGGCTAGACGGGGCGCGGCAGCTTAGAAAGGTAGTTGACACGAAAGGTATGGGGAAAACAATGGAAACAGGCGAGCGTCTCACTTGTTGCTCGTGGGGCTGCTTTATACGGAGTAATTTTATTACGACGCAACTTTTAGAAACAATTTATTTTGTGCCATTAATTGGTCATTTACTAATAGTTACTAAATCGTAATGGCAGCAACCGTTTTAGTAATAATGTGTTAGATCGAGCGTCTCCCTCAATCAAAACTAACTAATCAAAACTAACTAACCAAAACTAATTTGAAAAGTTAAAAATTAATACATATTTTTTATAAGAATAAGTTAAGCGACCTTTTTTTTTCGAAGTTTAGACGGAGGTTGTACCTACCCGTCATGCAGTGCTATCTGAGTGAGCGAAGAGCTTATGTTGTGTTATTTCTTCCCTGTGATTGCTGATAGGATGATCCCAACAGTTTATTCGTCAAACTAAAGAGCATAAAACCATTGTCGTGTTTCTGATAACTCTGCATTTAATAATTTAAAACACAAATTACCCTTCCATGAATAAATATTTTACATTATTGTTGTTTTAAAAACTACTAAAATTCGTTTTGCTCATCACATTATATGAAAAGCATTTTGCCTTTCCAAATCAATCTAAAATGACGATTATCATTGCAGCAAGTGAAGTGTTCTGCAAGGCCTGTTTATTATTGGATATTGGATCAAAGAACTTAGGGACAAAAGGATTGCTGATATTTTTAAACATTTTATTGTTATATATTCTGGATGTTTGTATTTTCTTGGACAACAACCTAATTTTGACTAGAACGCATTGTATGTTAAGGCATTTTTTAGTACGTCGCAACTTTCTAGATCGTAACCCATAAAGTCTTAATGTTTCTGCATTATTTTTAATGTTATCCTAAAAAGTGGCGTTTGCGGGTCTACACATATCAATCGATTTGTCCGGCTTTCTCCGAATGAAAGCCTATAACAAAGGTTTTTTGTAATTGATTATTATTATTATTAATTAATAAATACAAGGTGGTCAAAAATTCACAACCCTATAGCCTCACAACTTGAGTATGTATATTAAATCGAGTATTAATATACATCCAGGTGTGGAGACTGTTAATCGACAGCACACTTTGGAAACGTCGAATCAAACTCAAGTTAATTATACTTAGGTTGTACATTAACAAATAAATCCTTTGTTAGCGTTTAGGTGGGTTGTAATCCATATTAACTGTTTGATTTAGCAAATATTTAACGGTATCAGCAGACGGTCGAACGAAATGCAAACCGTACACATTATGCGCAAATATAACAATTCCCCCAATCGATAAGTATAGCGGAGGGTCAGCCACCATTCAGCGTTGTGAAATGCATTAGCGCGATGCATCGACATGAGCCTCGTTGACCCAACAGCTTTTAAAAGAGTGGATAAAATTTTGGACTATGGTAACGATTAATTATTATGAATGCAATTTTTACAACTCACCAGCTCTAATATAATAAAACAAATCACTCATACTCGAAGAGCGCTGGTGTCACAAAACTAAAGATTCTATGAACATTTATTACGTATCCATTACAATCTTACAAATACACACACATTGATCATTTAATCAATAAACCCAAAGGTATCGAACAAAAACATAATATATTGCAACATCAAATAGAATGAGAGAAATTTAATACAATGACACTTAAATGGGATTTGCATTGTCCGAAGAATTACCTATAGCCCAGGGACAGGTCACTCCTTAATTTGCACTGCAATTAGAGGATTTTACAATAACTACAATTAAATTATATTTATTATATTTGAATATTTTTTTACCAAAAATTAGAAGGAATTCCGAGAAATGGATCATATTTTATTGGAGGTGTCCGTCCGTTGGTTGGTGTGTTTATAGTACTTTTTGGGAATGTTTAAATGATACCAATTATTTGTTCAGATAAAACAATAAATGTAGCCCATTTAATAACATAATAGTGACTCGGCATCTTCACTACCTGATATATAACAAATTCAAATACTACCTTTGTTTTAAGTCGACAAAATCTTCGGCCAATATCGTTGTTGGAAAATGGCCTGAAGAAAATTAAGTAGCACTACACCAGTGTTTCTAAGGACAATATGTATCAATGTTCTGGGATGATTTTAGTATAAAATATCATCAGTTGATTCACATTGTAAACTGAACATCTTTACAAAATATAGAATAAAACAAACAAATCTTAAAGATATTTAAATATACTTGAGAACAATATTTTGGTAACGTCTACCGTACCCATTCATCGAGATCGATCTAGATATACCTGTCTTCTATTTTTGTTTTAATAGTAATATTTTTTTAGAATTCGAGAAATAATTACTTTTAAAAAAAGTTTGATATTTGCATCAGTAAATATCGTAGAACATACGTTTTATTTTATTTAGACCTTGAGTTACATCAAATATATATATATATATATATATATATATATATATATATATATATATATATATATATATATATATATATATATACACTGAAGGAAAAATGATTATATATATATATATATATATATATATATATATATATATATATATATATATATATATATATATATATATATATATATATATATATATATATATATATATATATATATATATATATATATATATATATATATATACACTGAAGGAAAAATGATTATATATATATATATATATATATATATATATATATATATATATATATATATATATATATATATATATATATATATATATATATATATAATCATTTTTCCTTCAGTGTATATATATATATATATATATATATATATATATATATATATATATATATATATATATATAAATAAATACAAATGAAAAAAGATTTTAATAATAAAGATAAGGTATAAAGGTTAAGCTATAAAATAAAGGCCGTAAGAATGATGGTAGGACATCTAGGCCTAATTAAATGGCGTAACCGAGCTACATCAAGGAGCCACTATCGAAGCTGTAGAGTCTAATCAGGGAGACCAACCAATATAAAGCTATATAGTATGGAGAGAGTTACAATAGATCGTTTGGGTCGCGGTCTGGCCTATTGATAACTCTCTCAAATCTCGAATAATTGGGTAACAACGATTCAAGTTTTAGAATGATCATCAGCATTGCATGTTTTAATATTATCTAGTTGTTCCATAAAATGTCCAGATTTTTTAACAGGTGAATTCTGACCTTGATATTAAGAAGATTTCAGAAGATTTTTCGTGGAGGTTACATACAATGCAAAATACAGTATTTATGGGTCTCGGGTTGGGTTTATATGAAAGTCTAAGTTAAACTAAAACTAGGGATGTACATTTTAAGGTTTGCTTAGAGGGCTGACGATTTTATTAAACATTGCGATTTATTTCCTTCTTTTTGAACTTCTTTTTTTTTCTTTTTTGAACTTTTTGAAGTTCCGTAGAAGTATGGTAAAATCGGTGCAACGCCTTTGGTTATACAATGAGGTTTCGGTTCCTCGAGCCGGATGTGCGGTACGAGATCGCAGGAAGCGTATACAATGAATGGCGACGGTTTGTTTTCATATCGCGTAGTTAATTACGAACCATTGCTCGGCTATTTATAGTCATTCTTTTATTTTGTTGTTTTTCGTTTGGATTTACGTGATTCATGTCTAAAGTGTGATTAACGCTGACCGGCGAGCCGAAAGAAATATGTTCACAAAGTGACGAGATTTGGCCGAAAATTGTAGGCGTCGACTACGGATTGTGACAAAGGTTTATTTTAAGCCGAAGTTGGAAACTGGAATGAGTAAAGTTTCACTGAATTTAGAAAGAGATTTGGAACCACGTTAATCTGTTTTTTAATCTAGTGCGTGAGGCTGGGTTGGTTCGCATGCTTGTGACAATAGAATAGATTTGATTCAGATATTTTATATATTCTATTTTTTTATTATAGACTCATTAATACAGTTGTTCAACACAATTCAATTAATAATGATGCAATGAAACGGCAGTTTACTTGGTAACTTAATCTCACTAATTGTCGAAATGTATAAGTAACCTATAGCCAAGATCTAGAACAACCTCCATAAAAAAAAGGCCAGGTACTGCAGTTTAACAAGTCCAGAAAGTTATACCTTGACAATATTTTGAAATCTACTTTTGAGTATGACTGCAATTTTTATAATTCTTATGGACAAAAATGTAAATGTGTTTTCTCCTCGGTTGTCTCATTACAATTAACCCACCTTCCTATGTATCTTTTGCTGTTTCTAACATCCAATATTCGCCGTTTTTGTTGCTGTGTCGGAAACATCCTTTTTAATCTTATTACTGTGCTTGGCCCTAAAATCTGTTGCTTTTCTCCTTTCCTAATTCTTTGATACAGTGATACTTCCTCGGATACTTCAAAAAGCAAATTTGTGTGTCTAGCTTAAAATTGATGTTGATCAATAAGAGCAAATAAAAGAAATGTGATAGTCCTAGCTATTTTCGAATTCGAATGTGTGTGCCATCCTCCTTGTCCGTGATCGTGAAAAGCGAATACATCTTAACAATATTAAACGCACTAAAATAGCCGATATTATGCGAAGTTAGAGACACAGAAATTGGTTATTTTTAAGATAGCCTATATTTAGGTTTTTCCCCTTGTCGTTCTAGCACAAGGGGAGAAGTGATTTAGGGTTTTTATATGTATTTTTTCGGCGATGTGTACTTTTCATTTACATTTTTTCAAATACATAAATCTACCATCTACCTACTATTACCCGCGAAAACAATACTTCGCTTTCACCTTATAAAACTATTATAAAAACAATGGTTTTATTTAGGTTGAGACGATGGTTTGTATAATAAAATAGTAAATAAATTATTATTTCAAAATACGAAGTAATTTATAGAGGTACTTAGCAGCATATGCGCAAACTCTGATATACATTTTACCAGCTAAGGCCTGGTGTATCATTGCACGGTTAGTTATGGCTAGCAAATGATTAAATGATAGCCTCTAGTCACTAGCTTACCCATTAACCATCAGCTAATTGAACTAACCACACACTGATAAACCGAGTCTAAATGCGACGCTAAACTTGATTTCGGGATAAACTAGCAGTTTTTCCAGGTGATATTTAAACCACAATTCCTTTAATTACTTATGATTCCTTGGAATTCTTTGCGGAATTCCTTCGCAATGGACATAATTCCGCTCTCATTTAACTCCAGCAATAAGAGATTTTCAGAAACTCCGGGAAAAGTACATTTTCCACATTTCGAAAAAGACGAAGTTTTACACCTACTGCGCCCAATTATTCTTGATTGATAAAATCAAAAAAACCTACTCGAGTGTTCTAATAATATAAGCTCCAAACGTTGTAATGTCATTTTGCAATCGTTGCGTTTAATTGCAATTAAAATACCGGTTTATCGTTGACTCACTTGATTCTCTCGTTTTTAATAACTATTTTGGTCTTGGGAAATTGTGAATCACACTGTTTGACATGTACATTTGTTACTTTTACAATTTCTTTTATTCTATAACTGTTTTCATTTTCAGGCTTCTATGGACCTGCCGCCGGACAAGGCTAAACTTCTGAAAAGTTATGATTCCGAGAAAAAATGGGACATTATCTGTGATCAGGTACGTGCCGACAAAGTTTACAAAATTTATTTTGTTCTGCCAGCTTTAGTATTTTTTTATATCCTTTAAGGTTATAAATTTCTTTATACTCGTGTCACTATTTTTGCTGTGTTAGTATTTTTATGTCATCGAAAGCAAAATAGACCTGGAATTTATATGAACTGTCGAAATATATTATGAAAAAATATATTAACTTAGAGCGAAAGAAAATGCGATTCACGTCAAATCACCATGAAATCACCCCGTTACTCAGTGGTAAGGATAGCTTTCAAAAATGTGTCTGATTATCTGAACTCCAATATATAACATATTAATAAGAATGTGGAATTGCCTTGCCCTGCATACATACAAGAGGTTGTCTTTCGTAATTATTCAGAAAGAATTAAACAGAATTTATCGTTCAAAAAAACATAGTGCATCCTAATGATGAGATCCCCTCTACCTGCCGTGCAGTGTTAATAACTGGGTCGTTCCACACTGTGCCATTATTATTTAGCAACGATTGTTGCTTAATATTACGGTACGCTATGTGGGCGTTTTAAATGCTGTTCTGTGTTTAAACGACGCTATTAATGGGATTTGTATCAATTAACTAGGATTTTCATAATTAACCGTGGTTGATGTGTATTTCTCAAAGTATGAACAAACAGGGATCATTATATTATACATACCAAGTGGTTTTAGAGAATTATATATTATCTATTATTAAATTGATTTTAAATTATAGGGTTGAAATATTACAAGGAAATTTGATTTATTGCTAATATAGTGATGCACTATTGAAGCGTGACAAACTGTCGCTTAGTTTAAGTGACAACATCAAATTTTCCTAAGAATAAGATTTTGTGGAAAATCCTAAACATGCTATTGAATTTTTTGAACCTGGCCCATAGCATTGATGTACCAATAAGGTTTAGGTACTAGAAATCTTATCAAAGGTACGATCTAGCTAAACTCCAAAAATAGATTCAATGGATAAAATTGACTATATTTTTCGAAGGCAATTTAAATTACTTAAGGTTTCTAGGACTGTTTTCTGCTAAAGAAAAAAAGCCATAGCATGGATGTCACTTGAGTTTTTATCAACTCTCTCCTATAAGTTATGGTGATATTATTTATTATCGATGTTATTTCTTACGAAGTCTTTGTGCAATATACATAATGCTATAATATCATGGTATTGAAGAATTGTGAAAGTTTTTATCTTGTCGTGGCACATCTCACATTTGAAAAACTGACTTATGCAAAATTCACAAGTTTCATTAAAATTGTCACATAAATACCAAAATTAAACGAAAAAAAAATCGAAATTTTTAATTTTTTCTTATAACTTGACATTTTACTTTTGGTATAGGTGAATTTTTTACTCGACCTTTTGCTTTTGGGATGCTTCCATAAAAATTGTAAAAAATATCTGTTTAATAGTTTGCAAGGAAAAAGAAAAATGCAATATTTCAACAACCATACAGTGTCAATGAATAAATCTTGCTGAAAAGTAGAAAATATCAGGCTTACTTATAGCTTCGATAGATTGTTATCATTGCACATATAAATAAGGCAATTAAAAAACAACCCGTAGGTAACTAAAATATACCTGTATCTTGAAAATTTATTTAAGTATAAAAAAATGAAAGTGTGGTAACGAAAACTTACTATAGTTAGCTCGATAGTTATGAATATATTTTTTTAAATGCTTTTTTGTAGAGTTGATAACCTGAAACTGACATTGTAAGTAGGTAACAGCGATGCCAGTAATTATTATGTTAAACTCGATAACTAACATATTCATTTGCCTTGAAATTCGAACCGATGCATGCAATGCGTTTACCATAGATAAAGTTACTCGACGAGAGTGAATATTTATATCTCAAGAATTTCGTCCCCAAAACTATTTTACAGGTTATTTAAAATTTCTCTTTCCCGACGAGGTAACATTTAATAAAAGTGGGTGTGGTTATCAACAATTTGCATTATTATTCAACAGAAAACCCGCGATTACTCAAAAATATATATATTCATCAAAACCATTGGTCACCGATTGTCGGAAATCATTCAACGATAATCGACGAAGATATTTTTTTTGTAATGTAAGCTCTTTTAACTTTTTTAAAATTTAATTATTTATTATTTATTTAATTATGCGGTGCATATTTAATTAGATGCTCGCTGACTCACCTAATGTCAACATTAGTTTGGGTTAGTGTAAGTTATATTTTGAAATTGTTATTTTTAAAAGGATTATGTTTCTTTACGCTTCAGTTTTTGATGGAGCTAACCGTTTAATATTTTTTTAAGAAATCATTCATAATCGTCCAGGGCACGTCATGCTTCAATCGCTTGACGGTTGTGTGAGTAAACTGGTTGAAACATGTGGTACACATTTGCTGTATTTCTCACATCCATGTGGACAAACTTCAATTCCTTTACTTTAAATTTCGCAGTACCAGCGTCAAAAATATTTGACATCAGATTGCGCATGAATCGCATGCAAATGATGCAAATCAAATCACTATGGGTAAATTATTGTCGGTAAGATGCATGATAACGAAAAACGCTTAAAATATGAGGCTACTATTCGATGCAAAGTAATAAAACCATATTTTTCTGGTTTGTGAAAAACCTTATTATTTTACGTGCTTTCGGTCATGTAGTATTACCAAAAATGTGGAATAATCCCGTGAAATTTGTTACAGAAATTTCTTACTGCTTTATAGTGTGCTGTGGATATAATATAATTATAATATAATAATAACGTAGCGGTGACAATGTAGGCCAAAAAATACTGCGGTTTTTTGTAGTTATATAGTTTTATAAAAAAAAAGCAAAATTTATTGAATTTTAAGAAAATAGTACAATGGGCTTACAATTTTGTTTTCGCTCATTTTTGAGCTTTTATTTATATTATAAAAAAAAGATAATAATCCACCAAAGCTTTCAATTTAATATTACTGTTAGGCTTTCTAATATAAGCTAATGTTTTTCTCTTTCTTCAATAGAAGTCACCGACCGCTGCTTATAGTATTGAAATTCGAAATTGAAAATTAACATTTATATTTTAGTCATTTAAGAGCAGAAAAGACGTCAAAGATCTGTAAAGTAATCTACTGGTATCATTGTTGCTATTGATAATGAGTAATAAGAAGCTTCGGTTTCGTTGAAAATTTGCTAATTTGAATTTGAATGAATATTAGGCAATTGCTTTTTTCAATATACCACGAAAGGCAGAATTTATTTCTTTGCAGCAAATACATTTCGATAAAACCTCGTAAAAGATTTTCAGTGGACGGAAAGTATATTTTTCTACTCCCGTCTGTAAAACGCCTAATTACACACCGATCTAGCGTGCGGGAAGCGTCACTTTACGACGTCAGTTTCGTTTCCCATGGATCCGAGCTACTTCGGACATTGCGGGGATTTTACCTCACGGGTTTGGGAGCAATCGGATGTTTTCGGAGATATTTCCAACGCTTTGAATTTTGACGTTTGTCAATTCTGACGGCCATGTCAGTGAATGTATTCGTGTTGTTTTGCGAAAATGTACCCAAAAACTAACGGTCGTAGAAAAAGTATAGTATGCAACACGTTCGGTAAACTTTTTAAGTCACTCGTTTGACTCGTGAGTCAAATGCCGTTTACCGCACTTGTTGCGTAATGTACTATGGCAGATCAATATGAAGTTTTGCCTATATGTCAAACTGTATATTATATACATATACTTTAATAATACAAAATAGATACTTTACTATGCCGCCTGATATTAATAGAACGTAAAGATAAAAGTTAACGACTTGAATTTCGATAAAGGGGTCATATCGACACTGTAATTTATAACCGATTTACTTCAGAATTGTGTAAATCTGTTTGTCTCCCTTCTCTTGCCTGCAATTTTCTATAGAACTGTTTGTTTAGTATTTCAGTCGGTATTCACTTGTGTTTCATGAAGACTTTAACATCGGGTACTAATCATTGTTTTTGTTGTAAAAATTATGTTCACGTAATAACAAAACGTTTTACCCGTATTTAGGTCAAGCTGCAAAACAATTATATTCGTAATATTAATTTCAGTCGTTTTCTGTTTAATTTCACGCATTGAATAATTAACAATAAACAAAAACAGTTTAGTTTCGCACATTAGCGCGTTTTCCGGTACCATTTTTGTCTCCCAAGGTCTTAGCAGACATAGCATAGAAGAGTTCTCTCTATCTCGCTAAAGATAAAAAATGCATCATCAAACAGTTAAGCGTAATTAAAAGGTCAAGGATGACCTCATGCATGGCGATAATAATCGTTAAAAACGTGTTCCTCTGTGTATGACTAATTGAAAAGGCAGCCAGCCGTGATTTGTTAATGACACCCACGCAAAATATTGTTACCTTTAGCTAACATTTTTCTCTGTATTTGAATATTTTTCGCGCTATAGTTAATTAATAATCGCTACTGGCAACTACGAAATGGGAGAGACCTTTAAAAATACATTACATTGACATTTTGTTCAAATTGTAGGAAATTGATATTGATATTTCATTCATTTTAAATTTTGAGGACTGAGCATCTCATAAAAATATAAATAAATTAGTTTAAAACTCTTAATACGATCTATACTATTTAATTAAACATTTTCAGGTAGTCTTAACAGATGTATTCAATGACAAGACAATTAATACGCTAAGTGTAGTTACCAGGTCATATTAAAATTCCAAATACCGAAAACGTACCAATAAACAACATATTAGAAACCAACCCAACCAAAAGCAGCCATATAAAGAACTTTGGAGACATTAATTAGTTTTAATTTTATATTGCTTAGAAAATAATCAAGATCGAGATATTTCGCAGTTATCACTCCTACTGGCAGTAACGGAAATCTCTTAATAAATACCTAATTATACAGCGATCTAGCGTGCGGGAAGCGTCACTTTACCAGGTGAGTTTCTTGTCCCACGGATCCGGTCCCCTTCGGACATTTTCGGGATATTGCCGCAATTTTGACGTTTGTCAAT